ATGTTCCAGATACACTCGAATAAAAATTCTCTGATGTTGTCGAACTCCACTTGGAGGTTATTATTTAGATCACAATATCATTGTTAAATTTTCCCAGTCAGTAGTAACAGTAAATTAAAGGTCGTTATGAAGATAATAAAAAACTGTTTAGAACTATTAAAATTTGAATTAAAAAGGAGCTTGACTCTTAACCGTTGCATAAATATATCATTAGTCGGCGATTTTCACAGATACCTATGTTTAAAAAAATGTTTAAGCTCCGTTACTTTTTTGGCCTTAGCTTGGAATATAAACAATATTTGAAAAGCCATATAACTGAAATCACGTAGCATTCAAATATTAATGCTATTCTATTGTGAGAGAAACATAAAGAAGAAGAGTTTATACAAACTGGACTATTAATGATGTGAAAAGTATTGTCATCAAATCGACATAGAGGTGTTTAGAGTAGTGTTTTAAAGAGATTTGCTTACTGATTTATCTCTGAAAGAGTTACATTTTGGTGATAACCTAGTAACGTCCTAAGGAAAAATTTATTTTGATGCTTGTAAGGAATCGATACCTCTTCACAGATTTTTTTATAAGGAAATTTTCATATCCCGAATATTGCAGAAGATTTGCTGTTTGTTTCATTTATTGGTAAAAAGTTCTCCTAGATAACGCTGGACCTCAAATTGATGTATAAGATCATCATTATCTTCATTAATTGAATAGTCAGGTCATCATCATCATTATTTACGATATTATATATGGTGATATGGTATATTGGCCAAGATTGTGTATTATATATATATATATATATCTTCTTCTTCTTTAAGTACCGTGCCCAAGTTTTAGGCGTGGGTAGCTTCCATGACGATTTGCCGATATCGTTCTCGATCTTGCGCGGCATGTAATATTTCATCTGCTGATAAGCCAGTCTATTGACGATATTATATTATATATATATATATATATATATATATATATATATATATATATATATATATGAACTTATTGTTTATATTGTTTAACATTGTCACGATTATTTAAGTCAGGACCATGCTGAAAAGTCATAGAGTTTATTTGCATAATCTATATTTTAGAAATCAGAATAAAGATGTACTTCATTCAGTGAAGATGTGTTCCTTTATTCTCTCTTAACTACGTAATATTAAAAAGAAGCAACGTTATAATGAAGTAGTTACCTGAAATCCTGGACCTAAATCAAATAGAGCATGTTTTTAATTTCAGAAAACGTGAAGAAGTTGTGCTTGCTTAATGGAATTCCACAAAACATTTAGTACTAATACTACATGCCACTAATAAAGTTGCATCTTCAACTTTATTAGTAACATGCGTGTAGAACGGAATCAGTTACAAAAGACTTGTGTTGATGTTGCTAGGTAAGTAATAATTAACCAGATTGATAATATTTTGTGTGTAAATCGAAAATCCACAAAGTTTTCTCGTCGTACAATATTCGTACCACCGCTCCGCATATGACATTTTACAAAATTAATTTTTTTTCAGGAAAATGTCAAGATTGAGGACGATATATATTTTACTCTAATTGGCATGACTTCGACGAATTATAGGCAAAACTGGATAATATAGATGAAGTTGTAGAGAAAATACCATCTTATTCCGAGTGGACGATTTTGAAAATAAAGATTCTGAAGCGATTGAAACTGCAACGTCGGACGTCAAGGAAATTTATAGCTTATCAGGTAAAGAGTCTGAGTCTGGTTTTTCACTAGAGGTGACAACAGATATGAGTAGAGCTCCAACATGGTCAACTAATCATAGACATATCTCTCCGAAACCTTTACATATTCTTCTAAAGTACCAGACTTTATTTAAGACTTTGATATTCCCACTCCATATAATATATTTTAATTTATTTTATTTTAGACTATATTAGTTTTATGTCTGCAGACTTACGTACTACCAATTGGTACGGTGGTTCCAAGCATGTAGTACCCCGTAACTAAAAAAATCAAAACTTAATTGCAGAAAAAACAACAGATTGTGTATCAGTAGATAATTAACCCTTTTATGTGTTTTTTATGTTTGTGAATAAAAATGTCGTTGGTCCATTAGGACATTTTTCGCACGAAAACTTTTGCTCCTCAAAGAGTTAAACTGTAGCGATTTCGTGAGATAATGACACAGTCTGATATATGTCCTCCTCTGCCAGATCTTGGCTTGCAAGGATCATGCAGTAATATTTTTGACTGTTAAAAGGCGATAAAGGACTTGGATAAGAATACTGTCTGTATCCAACCTTATGTAAACTTTATATAGATGAAACACTAAAAAAATGGAACAAGAAATGTGGACAGATGGGAGTAGAAATTTGCGACAAATATAAGAAAAGCTTTTTGTTGGCCGATGATCAAATAATTTTAGAGAAAACAAAGACAACATTGTTGACATAATAAAACAACTGGAAGAAGAATTTGGCAGCTGTGGTTTGAAAATTATTTATGATATAACGCAATTACGCATTGTAAATACATGGTAATTTGCGGTTCACCGCAAAAGGCCTGGACGTAAATAACAATTCAATAAAACAAAGAAACGAATATAAATATTTAAGGGTAACTTGACAAATACAGGATCAGATAAAACGGATATAATAAATAAAATAAAGAAAGGAAAGACAATATTACATTTGATTATGTGGCAAAACTAAACATCAAATCTTTAAGACAATAGTGGAAAGCTGCTCACTGTATGACTTAGAAATGTGGGTAACAAATAAAGCAATGGAAAACAAAATAAATGCAATGGAAATGTTGTTTTGGAGGGAGGGGAACAAATTAGAGAATTAATGAATGAGAAGGACACAGTAAATGACGAAATAGAAAAATGAAAATTATTCTGGTATGGAGAAAATTCCATTGGAAACGGAAAAAAAATAGAAAGGAGGGCGTGCTACACACACTTTACGTATTCAGAGCCATAAAAATAATATCTAGACAGAGGGTTAACGTGAAAATACAGTCTCGTCAAAGATTTTAAATTTTGAAAAACGGAAAAGTTACAACATAATCAAACGGGAAGGTGAAACAGAAAATGTTTGTCTTTAAGATGCAATGACTAGAATACAGAGAAATAAAAAAATAGTCATTCTTAGGGATCTCAACACAAGAGTAGGTACCAAATAATAGTATAGACAATAGAAAACGGTGATTTAGTGAATACACGATAAATCGTGATAGAAAAGAACTGATTGAACTTTGAACTTATAATACTGTTACGAAACATCCGTGACATTTATTTCAGAGAGAAAAAGTCATTTGACAAAAACGAAGAAGTAATGAAGAAGTCTAGAATTTTCGAGATGTGATCGAAGAATCCAGAAATTTCCAATGAAGTCTGGAACGTCAAAAAATATATATAAACATGTGTTGTTGACAATTTATAACCGTAGTATTTTGAGTTTTGAAGTTTATAGTTGTCCGTCTGTAAAAGTATTGTAAACAAGTTGGTGTTCAATAAAGTCATTATAAAGCAGTTTAACAATACTTTAATAAAAAAACAAATACGTGTTTCTCCCACAAACCCCACACAAGAACACTTGACAGAACACACAAACAAGGCGACATTCAACGATAAACTTCATAATAACAAATATAATAACACCAAAACAAATTCTCTATATCATCAGAGCAGAGATTTATCGTTAAATATGGGTTCAGATCACAAACTAGTACTGGACAATTTTTTATTTAAAATACTTTTTATTGAGAAATCATTCAAATACGCTGAGAAATCAAACATATAATGATGAAAAAGTTGTAGGTATTAATTAAGACAAATATTGGACCACCGGTTTCTCTGTGTACAAGTTATCCAGCATCATCAGGACCTCAAGAAACCAAACTAATTCCTTGTACTGATAGCCTTTAGTTTCTTAAGGGGCTTGATGATGCTGTATAACTTGTAAACAGCGAAGCCCATTGTCCAATTGTGAGTATAATACCTTTTTCCGTAACATTCACAAACATATAATCTTTAGAAGACCAAAATATAAAATGGTTTTATCAAAACTCTTTAGAAACGGAGGAAGATTTCTGCTACTTACAGTCACTGGTAGATCGTAAACACAACATATCCAAAGAAATAAGAAAAATAATATGCGTGGCTAACCGCTGTTATTTTGGTCTAGACCCTCAACAAGAGCAAGAAATATTTAAAGAGCAACAAAGTGCAAAATTTGTAAGGAGAACTTGGAGAAGGCAATATAATTTCGAACTCTATAGACTTTTTGGTGATATAGATATCGTGAAAACCATTAAAATAAACCGCCTAAGTTGGGTAGCCCACATTATGTAGATGGATGAAAGTGATCCTGCTAAAATAATCATGTTAAAGAGGCAAATCGGAAGAAGAAGAAGGGAGAGACCTAAACTCAGATATCTAAACGATGCGTAGGACGATTTAAGGGGTTTAAAGTACGGGAATGGAGAAGACAGACACTCTACAGCGAATGAATATTGTTATGAGCCAGTCCAGGGCTCACGAAAGGCTGAAGCGTCAACTGATGATGATGTATGCAAACTTTAGAACGTTTAAAAGAAGTGTAAGACAAAAACAGTAAAAAAAGAGAAAATGTAAAGGATATGTGGGCAAAAATAAAATGTAAATAATACAAGCTGCAAACAAAATGTAGGAATAAGGAAAAAGCATATCTACAATACTGTGAAAATAAAACAAAAAACACAAATCGGATAATTATAAGAGGCCTAAAATAAGAAAAAAAAAATAGGATAATTTTACAATTTAATTTAATTTTATAAAATATAAATTCCGTTCTTAAATTGTTACTGTCTCTTCAAATTTAATATTACTGTATATTATTTGTGAAGTGACAATGAAGATTTTTGGTGAATTATGTCGCTTATTATAAAATTATGCTTTAATTTTGTTCGAAAATATTATTCACACATTTATTTTTAAAATATTCTGTATATTAAAACACCTGAGATGGCATCATAATCATAAATACTCACTTTGACGCTCCTCTGACGACAAATCCAAATAACAAAAACAATCACTCAAAACCAAATTACCACCACCGAAAAAAATTTCCGAACGGAAAAAATGAAAACCAAAATCACACGTGCTACGCAGTTCTATTCACGAACTAGAAAAACAGTACCGGGTACCAATATCAATAATTTCCGATGCACTTTCCGATCACTGCGTTCGATGGTACGATCGAGAATAATCCACAGCCTCGTGTGGTCGAGTACCACTGCGGATTACCTTGTCGACCAAGTCGTACTTGCCGTGGTACCCATGTAGGTGTCGATCTGTGTATGTGTGTGAGTGTGTGGAACTCCTTGGTACTGAACGCATTATGCTCTAATATCGCACAATCATGATCGTTATTGTAACTTAAAAGAGTACGAGGAGATACACTCCAGGTACCAATTATTACATACTTATATTAGGAATCTCTTTAGATAAATGTATAGTTGTTAATGAAGAAATATGGTACTTTTAATTATCACTCATGTATGGAATCTAATAGCAAAGTGCAATTAATTTATTTGTAGTTAAAAAATGTGTTTGTTTTTATAATAATTATACAAGTGTAACGTACTTTATGGCTCCTTTTCTTTTGTGTACTTCTTACCAGATGTATTATATATATATATATATATATATATATATATATATATATATATATATATATATATATATATATATATATATATATATATAGTAAACTCGTAATATTTTATCAAAGATTCTTTTGAGATGGTAAATAAATATAGTGGTTACATATTACCATCTAATCATGTCCTCGTTAGACTTGACGTTTCATCCTTATTCAGCAACGTTCATTTAGGAATATGTTTGACATCAATAGAGATCAACTGGGACCGTATTAGAGGTTGTTGTTCAATGTCTTATGACAGATTCATCAGTATCGTCGAATTTCTCTTTAATAACACTTACTTCTCTTTTAATGGTAAATTCTATCAACAAACTTTCGGTACCCCTATGGGAGCAAAGATTTCTCCTATCATTGCAACTTACGTTATGGATTATGTGTTAGACTCAGTCATTCCTTTACTATCCTTTCAAATTCCATTTATTAAAAAATATGTTGATGATATAATTTTGGCTATACCAAATGACAAGGTAGATGTACTATTAGACACCTTTAATAGTTATGACCCCTACATCCAGTTCACTATAGAGATTGAAGATGGTAATTGTTCCGTCCCCTTTCTCGACATAAGGATGATTAGGGAAAACAACAACATTAAAATAGATTGGTATCAAAAATGTATATTCTGTATGCGCGTTCTATTACAAAAAAGTTGTGAATTCCGAAAGAATGTTTATTTTATGTTTGTTTCATCGACTTCGAGAAGGCGTTCGACAGAGTCCAACACAATACACTTTTCGACGGCCTAAGGGTAGCAGGACTTGACCGCTATGATATAAGACTGCTGAAATACTTATATTACAATCAAGTACCCTCTATCCAAATTGGAGACAGCCCACTGAAAAAATACCCATCAAACGTGGAGTACGGCAGGGTTGTGTTTTGTCACCCACTACTTTTTAATCTGTACTCTGAAGAAATCTTTAGGGAGGCTTTGGATGACAGACAAGAGGGAGTACGAGTACAGCCATTCTTGCACAAAGTTTAGAAGATCTCCAAACATTACTAAATCTAGTCAGTGAAGCAAGTTATCGGAGAGGCCTAAAAATCAATATTTCAAAGACAAAGTGGATGGCAGTTGGAAAGACCCATATAGATCAAGGTCTGCTTTCTCTTAATGGAGAAGAGATAGAAAGGGTAAATCATTTCAAATACCTTGGCAGCTGGTTAAATGTAAACTGTGACTCTAATGAAGAGATAATATCCAGGATCGAAATATCACGTAAGGCTTTTATGACCTGGAAACCAGTTTTATGCAACAGAAACCTGTCAATGAACATTCGTAAGAAGGTCCTGAAATGTTATGTGTGGTCGATCCTATTGTATGGTTGTGAGACATGAACGTTAAAAACCACAATGCTAAACAAGTTAGAAGCATTCGAAATGTGGTGCTATAGACGAATCCTAAAGATATCGTGGGTTTCGCACACTTCCAATGAAGATATTCTTCAAATGATCAACTCAGAACGTCTGCTCATAAACATCATAAAGAGGAGAAAAATAGAATACTTCGGCCATATAATTAGAGGACCCAAATACCATTTACTTCGCCTTATAATACAAGGAAAAGTGAAAGGAAAGAGATGGATTGGTCGAAAGAAACTTCCATGGTTGCGTAATATTAGACAATGGTGTGGTTTCACAGTAGAAGAATTATTTCGCGCAGCAGCCGACAGAGAAAGGTTTCAGGAAATTGTAAACATGATGACGGTTAACGTCTTAATACGGACACGGCACCCAAAGAAGAAGAAGGTATCAAAAACCGACCCATTCTGGTAGATACCTTAACTACCACTCTTACCATAATAACTCTACCAAAGTCAACTTAATCAAACAGATGAAAAATAGAGTAATTGAAATATCAGATCCTTCATTTCATACAAAAAAACCTACAAATCCTTCGGAAACTTTTTATTTCAAACTCTTATCCAACACCATTAGTAAATAAGATTTTGTTTAACACTATCCATAACGAAGATACTTCACCTTCCATCGTGACTAACAATGCTGATCCTGATATCTTAAGTGGGAATCCAGTCTCGGATACTCCTATCAATAAATATTTTTCATTACCCTATTTTAGAGATATCACTCCGGATATTGGCAATATCATTTTAAAGTCGTCTACTTTAAAATGTATAATGTTTGTCTGAATTGTCAATATAAATGAGTCAGATAAAATTAAATTATTAGAAGAATTTTTCACTATGTAACAAAAAACAAAATTTGTTTAATTTACTGTTTGTATTTTGAGAACGATTTCCGAAGTGGAAATTTAAACGTCAATAAACGTATTTTTATCTTTAATTGTGGCTTATTCCCAGTTTAATAGTAATTAATCACTCCGGAGTTAACAAGTGTTGAAAATAGCTTTGGAAATAATAATAATAACATTAAACTTAATGTGGCTTGTAGAGCAGCCCTAACAATTAATAATCTTTATTCGAAGATAAAAGATAAGACTCCCATAGATAGTCTTAGTAATATTCCTACAGCAATTCCTACATCGGCCAAACATCTTAATTATTGAAATCACGTATTACACTACACAAAAGTGATTCTCGACTTCACCCTGACCGCTGTGCATTAGCCAAACATGTCCATTCTGCTGGTCATCACATGGACTATACGAACACTACAATTCTCCACCGTGAGAACAATAAATCTAAAAGAGAGTTCATTGAAATGTCTTGTATTCTCCTTAACGATTTTTCCATCAATGTTAAGAGTGACATTAAGAATCTAAGCGATATATACCACTTCTTACTTAAATCAGATACCAAGAACAATACAACATCACAGATAACTAACTTGACTGATATATCTATTAACAACTAACCTACTTTAATAATAATTTTCATTAACTAAAAAAGATAACATTTCCTTGCTTTTCTTAGATACATCTCAATAAGATATTTTTATAATAATACATGAACAATATACAAATTAAAAAAAAATTTCAATTAAGAAAATTCTAAACTAATATCTCCCCAGACTGGGATCTAACTTCATCGGTTTTACCAATGAACCTTAACGACATAAATATTCAAAAGCACTACTTGTAATTGTCAGCGCTTGCGTTCTATGAAAACAAAACCTCACCAAACTTTATAACAATCAAAAATTTAGTTATTGCCGACAATTCAAAGAATTACTTCCTTTAAATGTAGTTACATTGGGTTTTTCGATTAACCTTGGGTAAACCTTTGCGTTTTAAGTTCAAAGCTACCATACATTTCCAACGTTAACAAAAAAAAAAGTTTTTTGCACATAGTAACAAAAAAAACACCACTATGTTGTTACTAGCTAAGTTTTTTAACATCCTAACTCAACATTTCTAAAATTTACGGTATGGTAAATGTGTTTTATTAGATAATATATGGTAGCTAATTATAATTTATTCTCTTTCAGTCCTGAAGAAGCCAAATTAATTCTCTTTGGCGAAAACGTTCGGCGAAACAATTGATACACATTAGAGCAGTTCTTGCAGATTTCCCCAATATTTAAGAGTTTACTATTTAACTTATCTGCAAAGATTAAATTTCTTTTCTTGTTCGCTACGCTTGTTCTCTATATTTATCATTCTTGAGCTACTACTGTACTGGCAAGAGTTTGTATCTAGTAATTTTTCTGTATCTCAGTCCATCTGATTGCTGATCGCTCTCTACTTCTCTGTCACTCAAGTTTTTCCGTCGTCATTCTTCTTCGAAGTCTTTCGATCACTTTTTTGACACTACTTTTTGACAGCATTTATCTATTATATTTATCTATTATTATTTATATATATTATTTATTTATCTATTTTATGCCGATTGAATGCAATCATACACTTATTGATATGTCATCAATACAGCACATAGGTGATCTTCCTCTGGGCCTTTTTCCTTCGACTTTTTCATGTACTACCAGCTTTTATCACTATACCACTGGTACGTTTCTGGGTCCATGGTATTCTTGGTATTCACTTCCAAGTAAACATCGCTTCGTTTTCGCTACGTGCAGCTGAACACGTATCGCCCTCTATAGGTTATTATATCATCACCATAAGGTTTACACCATTGAAAACATGTATAAATCTGCAGTAGGCAATAAAATAAAGCAATTGTAATTAATCGTAATTAATATTGTCTGTATATTAATTATTTATATGTAGATAACGTTATCATAGTATTTATATATTAAAAATAGATTTGTTGACAGTTAACCTACGGAACTACGGACAGTTCACCTGAGGAAACCTATTGACCAATCGAATGATTCAACTGGCCGTTTATGCCGATGATATTAATAGTATGAGTAGAATATCAACAGAAGCACAGAAAACATACGCAGAGTGAAAAACACAAACAAAAATTCTAGGTCTGGAAATTAACACAGAAAAAACAAAAATAATGATACAGGCGAGAAGAAATATAGTCCGACAAAACATTATAAATGAAGATGACATTGAAACGCTTGGAAAGTTTACATACCTGGTAGTAGAATTATATGCCGACGGATCAGAAGATGGAGAAATACGAAAGAGAATAACGCAGGCAAACAGAGCTTATTTTGCCCTCTCCCATATATTTCGGTCTAAAAAT